CCCATAAGATGAGTAGCATTTTTTATTAATCATTTCGTTCCAAACAAGGCAATAAAGCCACTATGACACAAAGTATTATTGAGTGTGAAAGAATAAAAGAAAAAAAACATTACGAAGAGGAGAGAATGATAACAGAACTGGAATTAAAGCAGAAGATAATGACTGATAATGTAAAATCAACAAAATAAAAATATAAATAATAGATAAAATTAATTAAAATAAAACATTAAAAAAATAATCTACCATTTGCCATGCATTGAATATTGCTGCCATATCTGGTCTAGTGCTCCAACTAAATATCTTTCTTGACAATATCCAAAGAAGAGTCTGTAATATATTTCAAAACTATAGAATACACAGGGCATAGGTGCAAAGGACTCATACCCTACCCCCAAATCTATGATACAGCCTTCCACTGCCAAATCTATGATTTGGGGCCCACTATGTACTACATCTCAATTTTCATAAGGTAATATTCATATAAAACACAAATTTTATTATAACCTAATTATGTACAATAATGGATCATATGCAATATAGGAGACCAATTCAACTAGAAAAATTGAAAAAAATTACAATTTATCTAAATACAAAATAGATCATTCCATCTTAAATAAATCAATAATATTTAGCTTCAATTTTTTCTTAAAAAAGTTGAATAATTTTAACATATTCAACATTATGGATAAAACATAGTGAATTTTATATAGTGTTTTTTCAAGACTTAACATGAACTAAACAAATTCACAGATTTGGACAAAAAAATAAAACCGTTACAACATTAAACCCTTTAGCATTTTTCATCTTTTAATAGTCAGTTGTCCTTAGTTTAATTTGTAACATATATAAATGTTGGTAGGAAAAGACAAATGTTGATAAGATTGCAAGGGGCACAAAGGTTTTCGTGGGACCACCAATCAAATTTGATTCCCTACCCGCTGGGTTCAGGAGTAGTATGCACTGCCCCTGAGAATACAAAAAAATATTTATTATCTTTTTATCTAGTACTGTCAAACTCTATGAAACCATTCCAACCATGGCCACAATATTATCTATATTTGAATTTAAAAACATGAGCTTTGGGCAGTATATCCCCAATTTCTATCCATATGTGCAACAACTGATTAAAAAATAGAAAAAATATAATGTAAATAATTTAGGCATACGTTGATTAATTTTTGTTGAGTTCCTTTTAAGTTCACAGATTAATTTTTTGGTAGCCTTAAAAAATTGATTATGAAAAATACCAAAATTTTCTTTCAAATAATTTTTATTTTCCCAAGTGCTTTCAATCTTATCTGAGACCATCTTCAGGGGGTTAAATTGTCTGTGAGTATGTATATGTGTTTCTGTAAATTGAAATCATTGCAATTGTTCATTTTTACTGCTTATGCAGCATTATAGATTTCAAAGTTTGAAGTTCACATGTTTTTTTTCCATTATAAGGGAAGTAACTTTCTCATTTTTGCTCATACATTATAATTTTTTTAATAATCATTTAAGGATTTTGTTGCTATATTCATAGCTGACTTTATTTATATTTGATTTATTTATATAAAGGGCTTCAAGAATTCTTAGTTTTTGCTTATTGTTCTTAAGTAATATAGATGTATTTTCAACTAATATCCATCTAATCTGTGAGTGTGGGCATGAGTGTTCCTTTAAATGATAAGATATTGAACTATGCTCAGCCAAATGAAATGTAAGCCTTTTTGTTAGCGTCGTTGTAGTAAAGCCAATATTATGTATTGATATTTTTATCAGAGATACAATCCCCTAAAGAAAATTTAAATTGATATACAATGTTGGCCTTTTGCATGATGCTACTTAGTGAAGAAGAATCACTTAGGCTGGATGCATTAAATTTATTATAGTATATAATTAATTTTATTTTTTTACTTGGTTTGTTGGGAGATATATTAGTGTTTATGAGTTTTAGAATTTTTTCCTCTTGTTTATATTTGGAATGTATTTGATTATGTTATAGTAATTTGATATATTTAGAGTTATTTGATGATGTATTGTATTCATTTTTATTTATGTTAATATTCTTAATAGCTTATCTAATTTGTTCATCAACAATGTAATTATGGAATTCATTATTAATCACAGTTTGTTTAATATTTTTTAATTCAGTATAGAAAATCCTTTTTGTTAAAGAATTTGATTTTGCACGGTTTATTAAGTTTCATATAATAGTTTTATGGTTTGTAATAGTTAGGACATTCTCTTTGAGAGTACATGCGTTTATACTTGTTTTTTTAGTAAATGTATTATTATTCTAACTATCAGTAATCAAGGAATGGGATTTTTTGTCATCTAGGAGATTGTATCGCTGATAAAAATGTCAATACCTATGTTGGTTTTACTACAACAATGCTAACAAAAAGGCTAACATTTCATTTGGCTGAGCATAGTTCAATATCTCAGCATTTAAAGGAACACTCATGCCCACACACACAGATTAGACAGATATGAGTTGAAAATACATTTGTGTTACTTAAAAACAATAGTAAGCAAAAACTAAAAATCCTTGAGCCGTAATCGACATTGAAAATTAATTGACATAATATGTCTAAATTATTTAACCAAACCTGTTTGAATGAAAATATGCTGCCTAAATATACCCAATGTATATATATATATACGTGCTATACTCTCCCATAATTTATTGATGTATGAGGGTCAAGCAACAGCCAGACACCTGCATATATGGTTTGATTATAATGGTGAAGGCTTTGTGCAGAAACAAACACACTGTTTGAAGAGATGAATACCGAAACCTGGTGCACTACATCCCACAAGGTACCCAAACGACCATCTGCAGGTTTTGCATTCAGAGTTTTCCTTCTCCTTGACCAGTTGCCATCCAAGTCAATAGAATCCAGTCTGTACTTCTATTTACCCATAGCTAATATATATATATATATATATATATATTTTATGCAAAACTAGGTAATCCGTATGGGTAGACCCAAGGAGGATGATATCTGGAGAGCTCAATGTAAATTCAGAGCAAATATGTTTGAATAAAAACAGAGTACTTTAAGGTTCCATGTAATAAATTATTTCCCCACAGCCCTTTTAAAGGGCTCTGGATCATCAGACTTTACTTCCAAAGGTTGAAATGAAAAATGAAGAGAAATTTACACATTTTTGACAGGCCATATTAAGCATATGTAAATTAACGAAGTGAGGAAGTGAGTGGGGAGAGAAGACATGAGTGAGTTAGATGTACCATTTCAATTCTTTATCCCTAACCCCACTTGGTGTGGGCCAGACATCGCTTAACTTAATGTATGTTATCTTTAGATATGGATGGGTAAGGGGTGAAGAAGAAAACCGGCATAAAAGGAAGAAGATATAATAAAATAAAGCATCATTATTATATATATATATATATATATATATAATAATCATGATCATGATTTATATATATATATATATATATATATATATATAATAAATACATAAGTTAAAATGAAGAGTGCTCAATACACTAAGTAAAGAAAAAGTAAAATAAATACATACTAATGAGCCAGGTAATACCTACCTGGGTTTCACCACATGGGATCCTATGTGGTGAAACATAGGTAGCTAGTACCTGGCTCATTAGAATTCATTTATTTTACTTTTGCTTTACTTAGTGTATTGAGCACTCTTCATTTTTACTTATTATTTGCTGTTTTTTTACCCTTTGTACCAGAAATTTAAGATTTGGACATTTTGTTTTCCCTGTTCAGAGTTTTATGGTGCCTTCTTTTGCTTTCCATTTTCCCTCAGATGACAATTTATTTAAAAATCTAAGTTTTTACACACCACGCTTAAATTACATTATGTATATAGCTATACATATCTTATGGGATGCTGAAAATTTCTTGCCTTTCTTCAGCAGCGCTGATGTATAAAAATATTATGTTGGGTCATTTGATCAGATTTTGAGAAGTTAGGTCAAGAATACTTTGATACCCTTCTCATACATATATACATACATATATATGTGTGTCTGTGTGAGTCTGTGTGTTCTTGTATCCATAAACAACAAAATAAAAGTCAGTATGTATGAAGAGATAAATAAAAGATATGTGTTTAAAAAAATGTTGATGAAAAAAAAAAAGTCATATTGGAACCAATTTTGTTCTCACCAAATAGTAACACATGTGTTTCGTTCCTTTGAAAAAATTTTGCAGGTGTTACTTTCAAAAGAATCTATCAATATGATTCTGTATTCTTTAAAATCTTTTTCGTTTTTCTATCATTTTTGCAATTTCTTTTTTTTATTTTCTTTTTCACTTTTTTTTCATTCTTTTTATTTTCTTTAATTCCCTTCTTTCTTTAATTCTTTGCTTTCATTCTTTTTATTTTCTTTAATTCCTTTTTTCTTTAATTCTTTTCTTTAATTCTTTTTATTTCCTTTTATTCTCTTTTTTATTCTTTAATTCTTTTTGTGTCTAATTTTTTTTTATTTTCTTCTTCACTTTTCTTTCATTCTTTTAATTTCTTTAATTCCTTTTCTTTATTTCTTTTTCTTTAATTCTTTTTATTTCCCTTAATTCTCTTTTTTATTCTTTAATTCTTTTTGTCTTTAATTTTTTTTATTTTCTTTTTTCACTTTTCTTTCATTTTTTTTATTTTATTTCCTTTTTCTTTAATTCTTTTTTATTTTCCTTTTTCACTTTTCCTTTAATTTTTTTCTTTTCTTTTTTCACTTTTCTTTAATTCTTTTTCTTTAATTCTTTTTCTATTTCACTTTTTTCTTTAATTCTTATTTCTTTAATTTTTTTTATTTTCTTTTTTCATTTTCTTTAACCTCACCTCTGGACTCTTACCATCACTCATTCTCTTTTACCATTTCTGTCAATGCTAGAATTTCTGAAGACCAATACCTCCATTTCTTAATTCGAAAAGCAAATACCAAAGTACTGTATGGATGAGATTGTCTGTGAAATGGACAGAATCAAACATTTATGGAGGTTTATTTTTTGTTTTTTTCATTTTAGTCTTCTTTTTTTTTGGGAGAGATCAAAAATGGCCGACTACATTTCCTTGGCATGTAACCTTTGTTGTCTTTGGCAAACAAAGACAAAAGATTCCTTTTTGTTCTTTCTTCCCCTCTCTCTCTCTCTCTCTCTCTCTCTCTCTCTCTCCCTGTCTTTCTCTATCTTTACACACAAACAGTTCACTGTGAAAAAAGTGAAAAATAATCTCAATAAATAAACCCAAGTAAAATCAATTGGTTTGATATTACAGATTTAGCTTTCTTAAGTGCATTCAAGGGTATTGCAACCAATATTACTTCTACATACATGGTGAGAAATTGTTGCAACAATAATTTATTGGGACAAACCATAGGAAGAATGTTTTTTATGTTGTTGCGAAAACATTATTCCAATAACATGAATTCATACGGATTTGTGTTCTAAATATGTCTTGCTATCTCTAGGGAGATTACTTTGCGCATTCATGTAACCCCAAAGGAGATCATGTTCCATTTTTATATATTAAATAAGGAATGCCATTCCTATTAGATGTGTGGCTGAGTGGTTAGAATCTGAGAGTTTCAGTCTAAAAGATGCTGGTTCAAATCTCACCAGAGTTGATATATATATATATATATATATATATATATATGAATATACTATACTTCACCCAAGACTCACTTGCTACTCAGGGTAAAAAATTACTGAATGAGATTTTTCTAAGAGAGCAAAAGGAAGGAGAAAGTGGTACACATTATGTTGACCACTCAAAAAACATCCTCCCATAAACTACTGTTTTGTGTAACCGATTCCCAAAAAGAAACTTCCCTGAACTCTACAGTCTTAACAGATAACGATTAACCCTAGACTTGAACAGTCGAGGATTAACCGTTATCTTTATGTTTTCATAAATTCTGCTCCTTAAAACTTTTAAATCATTTTCTGGTTTAGGTGAGAACTTTTCAGCCCTATCTCCTATACTAAAACTACTGATTTCTGATAAAATGTCATAATTATTACATTAGAGAATGTAAAAAGAATGATGATGATGATGATGATGAGCTCTCTCCACATCTTTGCAGAGGTATTCATTCATGCCTGGTGTATCTTGGGCAAGTAGATTTAGTGAAGCCCATCCCACTCGAGATAAGATGACATCCAATGTCTTCCAACTCGAAGCCTCATGGACACATAACTATTCACTTCATTAGGGCAACCCTCTGCCCAGGCCATTGGTTTCAGTTTTGGAAGGCCTCCACCCAACAATTTCATGACATCACTGAGATGGATATACTACCAGTAGTGTACATATTTTACCAGTAACCAGTCAAAACATGCTATAGTTACTGTTTCTTGGTTGAACTCTCTATTGCTGAGTGCCACATAACCACTACATTTAGAGTTACTAAAGAACTAAGGGGTTATTTTTACTTTTTACTGGCAGACTTTGGAGGATATACTGCATCATCAAATATAAGAATTACTATAATCATTATTATTGTTGGGATACAAAAAGCAAAATTTTCCATTTGGTAGAGATGAAGTCACATGTGTCACGTGATGGATGCTTAGTGACATCACTTCATACAGTGATGATAATGGACATGTGTCTGTCAGTTTACAGGAGTCAAAATGAGTGGCTTCTTTTTTGGCCCAGGCCAAGAGACCCAGGCTGAGGCTAAACCTTTCATCTCCAATCCATGGTGCTATTTCCCTTTGAAAAATATATATTTCCCAGATATAGAAAGAAACTATCTCTGCTTAGGAGTCCTCAGTTTGTGAAAACCCAAGACTCACAGTTTCCTATTCATGGAATATGTCCTCACTTGGGATATAGTAGATGAATCTAGCTCATTTCAATTTGAAGTCTTAACATGGCTTCTTTAGAAACACAGAAGAATCTCCATATTTTATGTAATACCTTATCTTTTCATTCTCATTTCAGTTTTCTTGCTGCTATATTTTTCTCTGCGTGGGACATGTGTATGTATAGTTTTGCGTATATCCTAGTGGCATAAAAGTCTCTCTGAGAACAAAGTATGTTTGTCATTTCTTTTCCTTTCAGTTATTCTGTTCCATCTGTGAAGTCTGGTGTTATGATAAATAACAGATAGTAATCAATAAATGGTAGTAATAATGGTGATAATAGCCATTTCCATATAAAGAAAAATTTAGATATTCATTGACAGAGCAGTCAGTAGTGTTTTCAGTTGAAATTTATAAAATCTTTCTCTTAAAATAATTTCTCAGGAAAATAAGTTTCTCAATTCCAGTAGCTGTTATCATTCTTTCCACTACTGATAGGGATTTCCTTCCTAACCTTTTATTTGATGCAGTGTAGAACGTCAACATTTTGATGATGTCATTATTTTATTTCTTTGATTTATATGTGAGATGGAGTTTATTTGTTGCGCTTTGGATAGTCATCAAGTGATGTTGTTTCTGTTAATTGGTTCAGTTCTTTCATTTGTGATTCTGTTGCACCAGTTCACAATGCTTAAAGAAGGATGGTCTTCATGAAAATCTACAAACTTGATTCACTCAAAGCCATTTTTAATCATTTTTTTATACATCTGTTAGTTCAGATATTTCTGAATGAGGGCTTATGGCAACATCGTGTCGAAACACTGGTTTCTTTACAATCAGTAAAGTTAAGCAATGTTGAGATTGGTCAGTACCTAGATGAATGACTGCTTGGGAATGCTATGTGCTGTAGGTTTGGATGTAAAGGGTCGTGTAATGGATAATAGCTAAAAATTGTTAATTGGTGAACCCAGTTTTAATTCCAGTTGGGTTTGTTATATTCACTTATGCACAAATACCCTTGATAAAATGTATAAATTCATCTCTTCTCCTCCTTTTCTAACATTTACTGGCCTGAATTGGTTCTTTGTAGCTCAAACGGTAAAGGCACGTCAGCGTATATGACGGTTCCGTATAGGATACAGGTTCGAATCCTGTCAAAGAACGAAAATTTTCTATGAAAATTTCTCGGACATTCAGGCCGGTAAATGTTATTTAATACTGTTTATCATAAACAGAGCATTTGCTTAAATACTTGTATCTATAAAATAACAACGTTAAACATAAAAATATGTCTTTAATAAATAAATTGTCGGACCTTGTCCATTTCTTAATATATATATATATATATATATATATATATATATATACATATATATATACATATATATATATATAGTAATAATCTTATAAATATAAGAAATTATACTCGTCTGGAAAACCTTAGGTACTTTGATATGTAAATAAAGAGACCAATACCCAAGAGAAAAAAAAAGTAGAAAAAAAGAAAGAACAGAGAACATGTATGTCAGCTGAAGACAATCATCTAGCATCTAAGTTCAGAGTCCAAAGAAAAAACCCCGATATGAGTAAGTAAAATAAGTAAAGTTCTCAATATGCTAAGTAGTGCAAACCTAATTAAACCTAAAGAGCCAGATAAACCTACCAAGGTTTCACCTACGAGGATCGTCAGGGAATTCTGGTAATAGAGCCAGTGTTCCCTGACGATCCACATAGGTGTAAACCTTGGTTAGGTTTATCTTTTTAGTAAATTTAATATATATATATATATATATATATATATATATATATATATATATATTAGGTTAAGTGAGACTACCTTTTGCAGTGATAGCTTCCAGTATCTTAATGATAAAACAAGTTTGGCTTGAAATTAGTTTCCCACATTGAAAAATGAATACTGGTCCTTCCATGATGCTCATTTTCTAAAGTAAGACTTTTGCTCTCTAGATCAGAAGACATTAAGATTATTAAATTAAAATTTATTCTCACTGGTTACATTATATATTACATGACCCTATGTTTACATTAGTTCCTGAAGATTTTAAATAAAGAAATTTTGTTAGTTTTCAGCCAAATCTCCTTCTGCATGGCACTTATCCATAGTACCACATTTGTATTTTCTCTCCAGGATGAAGGGACAGTAATCTTTGACTGAATATCTGACAAAATTGATAAGATCCTCACTCACTTTCCCTCGATCAGCTTTTATATCTGCGGCGACTTCAATATCCATTATAAAGAATGGCTAGTTCACTCCAGCAAAACTGATGTTGAAGGCAGATATTGCAGAGATTTCTCCATTGCCTATGAACTAACCCAAATCATCAGAGAATGCAGACATGACAGGACATCAGGTAAACCTCCTCAACCTCTTCCTAATCTCCTGCTCTGATAAATGCTTAACAAAATTTTTTATCTCCACTAGGCACGTCAGACCATTCCCTAATCAGTGTCCAGATTGATGCCAAACCATAGAACAATTTTTTTCCATGCAAAGGCAGACTGGGATGGCTTTCGATCCTGCATAATGGAAGCTAACCCTCCCAACAATCTTCAAGAACTCCCTCCAAAACTGCTTCTTGTCACTGATTGGATCCTTTCTGAAATGGTGAGTTTTATACCTCACAAAAAATTCCAGCAAAAAAACAAACTGTCAACCTTGGATCACCTTTGAATGTTCTGCAGTCATGATTCACTGAAACCACTGCTTCAACATCTATTGCAATGAGTGATGCAGTTCGACCCTCACTGCATTCAGAACTGCCCACAGTTGCAGAAAAGAAATTCTAGAAAATGCCAAGTAAAGCTACACACAAGCAGTCCAGACAAAGGTTGAAAAGAATTAAATTCGATCCTGTGAATTCTGTTAGATCAGCAACTAAATCATGAACAGGAGCAAAGTGGCTGTGCCCACAATTATAAAAGGCCCCTGAGGTCATAACTTCCTCAACAGATAAGGCAAACCTCTTCACCTCTATCTTTGTCTCAAACTCAACGTTAGATGACAAACATCATCCCCTCCACAAATTTCCACATCTCACTGAGAACACAATCTCAGTAATATTACCATTACAGTATGAAAAGTCTCTGGAATTATCAAAGGCCTTGACACTAAGAAATCCAGTGGCTTAGGCAAAATTCCATTGATATAACCCGGAATTATCAACCTGGAATTATCCCCAATCCTAGCAAAATTATTCAATCATTGCTTGAAGGAGAAATCCTCTCAAGCCTGTGGAAGGTGTCAAGTGTATGCCTGATTTTCAAGAACATGGGCATGCAATCTTACCTCTTCATTAGTTCTCTCAGTATCATCATTAAGCTTTTTAAATTATGTAATGGTTAGTTATCAATCAGCACCTGAAGATTGTGTTGTACAACA